GGCTCGATCACCCCCATATCTGCGTCTCCATTCACAGTCCGACTCGGTTATACTCAGATCACCCACGCTCAGATTCACTCGCACTTAGGCCCGCACACAAAAATATACCGCGACATGGCCAGCGTGGCATTTGGGCACCCAACATGCCAGCAGACGCCGCGAGTCGCACCGAAGAGGGCGGGCGTACCGACGCCCTTCGCGCGTGCCTGCGTTGCCGCATTGTGAACAGCAAGAGGAGTTCCCCCTCGTTTTTCCATTTGTGCTTCCCTCGTCTCTCCTGAACCATGTCCGGAGGGGGGAAGACGTCACTGAAGTCATCGCTGTCGTCGTCGTCGTTGTCGCGCCTGTCGTCTGCGCGGACTCGCTCGGGCCGGGCGAAAGGGGGGGATAGCAAAGGGGAGCAAAGGGGGGGGTTGAGAATCAGTTCACGTAGCTGATTTTCCTGGCGCCTCCCGGCGCCGGAGGCGGCTATGTTTGGAGAAATGGGCCCCTCGATGGGGCCGAAACCAGCTGCATGCAGCAGATTTCGTACCCCCCCCTTTCAAAATCCCCCCTTCGTCCGGCCCGACTCGCTCTCACACCCAAATACTTACAAACAGAGCTCCTCAGCGAAACGTGACGGGAGCTACGGGATGCACATATGGAGATCTCCGCGTCGAGTAATTTGTCGCACCGCGACGGTGCTTGAGATTGCAGAGGAAAAACATGTCCGTGGGTCAAACGAAGCTGTGACAGGAATAAATTCGGCCATGAATCCGCCGACCCTGTCGGCATGTGTGGGGTGTCTGTCCGATCCCGTCGACGGGGAGTCTTCTTTCGTCCCCCCCGTCCCATCCTCCTCTCCCGTCGGGGGAGAGAGAAAGAGAGAGAGAGAGAGAAAGATAAAAAAATAAAGAGAGAGAGAGAGAGCACCCTTCCTCGTTCGGGGAACGGGTTCGCAGCTTGAGGGAATTTCATCCGCGTCCCCATCACAGGGGAACCCCTTCCTTTTGTCTCTTCCCCGGGTGCGGGGGAAGTCCTGGGGGGGGGTCAGATTCGCATCGCCTCGGGGGGTCCTCCTCTCCCACGCCGGTCTTTCTCCAGCGCGCCGGTCCTCCTCGGGTCCTCCAACCCAGGTGGGGAGCATTTCCAGGGGGGGGGGGGGGTCAGATACGCATCGGTCCCTGGGGGTCCTCCTCCCCCTCCCGTCCCCTCTCCCACGCCAGTCCTCCTCCGGTCCTACTCCCCGGGGGAGGGCCCAGGGGGGAGTCCTTTTCCTCCTCCTTTTCCTCCTTTTCCTCCTTTTCCTCCTCCTCCTCCTCCTCCTCCTCCTCCTCCTCCTCCTCCTCCTCCTTATCTCCGCCTCCTCCTCCTCCTCTTCCTTCTCCTCCTCCTCCTCCTCCCTTTCCTGGTCGTGGTCGATGTCTTTCAGGGTTGGCGGCACCGGCCGTCAGGCCTTCACAATAAATCAGGCACCTCTGAGATCGAGCGGTCCTGGAGGATGTATCGGGCGCCGCGGCCGTTCCAGAGAGCTCCAAACTCAGGGTGGGGCCGTCGACCGTCAGTCGTCGGTCGTGGTCCGTTGGTCGTCGGTCGTCAGTCATCCGTCATCATCGTCGTCCTCGTCGGTCGTCGGTCGTCCGTCGTCCGTCGTTCGTCGTCCTCGTCGTCGTCGTCGTCGTCGTCGTCGTCCTCCTCCTCCTCCTCCTCCTCCTCGTCACCGTCCCGGAAGTCCCGACCCTTCCCCAGGGCGGGTTTTTCATTCGAGCCCGTTCCTCTGGGGCCCTGCGAGAAGCCGAAAACGGCAAAAAAACCTCCGTCGTGAGTCTCCCAAGGCGCGAGCATGCCTGGGCTTACGCGGGGGTGTCGACACCGGTTCTCCACTGACATCTCCCGGGTGCGTTCTGACCAAAGTTTCGAAGCGATTCTGCGGACAGTACTCCTACCCATATCCACGGCGTCGTGGACTTTTCGGGAAGAGGTGCCGCAACGCCGAGGCGCACCAGATATGGATAAAATCCGCCGACCCTGTCGGCGTGTGTGAGGGGCTTCTCCGTTCGACTCGTCGTCTCCGTCGTCTCCGCTCTCCCCCTCCCAGGGCTCTCCTCCTCAAGCGCGCTATCCAAAGCGAAATTAAACGACGTCGTAGTGGAGTCGGAAAGAAGCCCCTTCCCTTTGATCCCTTCCCGCAGGAGGGGGGGGGGGGGCCCGGGGCAGATACGACGCCCGGCGGGGCGCTTTCCTCGAGCGGGCACGCACGGGATGCACTTCCTCCTCCTCCTCCTGGTCCTCCTCCTCCCCTCCTTTTCCTCCTCCTCCTCCTCCTCCTGCTCCTCTCCTCCTCCTCCTCCTCCTCCTCCTCCTCCTCCTCCTCCTCCTCCTCCTCCTCCTCCTCCTCCTCCTCCTCCTCCTCCTCCTCCCCTTCCTCCTCCCGCAGAGGCGTCCCGGGAGCGGGCCCCGAGTCAAAATACCACCCCCCTAGGGCGAATTTTCCTCGAGCGGGCACGCCTGAGATGCCCTTGTTCCTCTTCCGGGAGCACGTCCTAAGTCAGAATATCACACTCCCGGGGCGCACTTCCTTCGAGCGGGCACGCAAAGGATGCACTTCCTCCTCCTCCTCCTCCTCCTCCTCCTCCTCCTCCTCTTCTTGTTCTTCTTATTCTTCTTCTTATTATTTTTATTCGTCTTCTTTTTCTTATTATTATGATTATTATTATAATATTATTATTGATAGTATTCTTATTATGTTTCTTCTACTTAGTATTATTAACATCCGCCGTCTTAGTATTATTATTCGTATTATTATCCGTTTTCGTATTGTGAATATTATTATGCGTGTTCTGTTGATTGTTACTCTTCTTAAACAGTAGTCGTATTATCCGTATGCTTCTTAGTATTCGTAGTAGTCTCATTATTATTCCTATTATTACGATTATTCTTATTAGTATGATTAGTATGATTCTTATTATTCGTATCATTACTCGTTTTTATTCTTAATCTGCGTCTTATGATTAATCGTTTTCGTATTATTAGCCTTCTTCGTATTCTTATTACTATTCTTAGTAGTACTAGTATTCGTTTCTTATTAGACTTATTCTTCTGCTTGTTATTATTATGCGTCTTCGTATTCGTCGTGTGTTTCGTCTTCTTCTCATTATTCTTAATATTCTTCTGATTAGTATTCTTACTCTTCTTCTGATTATTAACATTCTTAATATTATTATTAATATTATTCTTATTATTATGATTCGTCTTCTTCTTATTATTATTATTCCTCCTCCTCCTCCTCCACCTCCTCCTCCACCTCCTACTCCTCCTCTTCCGCTTCCGGAACTGCAGCGGATGGTCCCAGAATCGGGGCCGCCGAAACCGGCGCGCCGCGCGCGCCGCCGCGGCCGGGCCGCGGGGCGCTCACAGCGCGAGGCGGGCCCTTCAGAGCGGGCGGCGTGGGGATGGCTAGCCAGCTCCCCCACCGTGCCCCCTGGCCGGAAGCGTCAAAGCCAGGACGGGCAGGGCAGGGGCCAGACCACCGCCAAACCCACGCCACCCCCCCCAAAGGGCCCACCACGACACGACGGACGACACGACAGACGACGACGACGACGGCGACGACGACGACGACGACGACGACGACGACGGCGACGACGACGACGGCGACGACGAGGACGAGGACGACGACGACAACGACACGACACGACGAGGAGACGGACCGCCAGTCCCGCCCCAAGGCGGCGAACGCAGGGGGGGAACCCTGCGCCGCCCTGGGGGAGGCCCCGGGACCTGGCAGCCCCCCCTGGGGAGGGGACCCCGCTTATGGGGGCCGTCCCAGGGGAGCGGGGGCTTTTCACCCTTGGGCCCGGCGCTCCCCGCCTGCGCCAGGAGGACCCTGGGGTTGGGGTCCCGACCCCTCCCCTGCGGGCCTCCTCCTCCTCCTCCTCCTCCTCCTCCTCCTCCTCCTCCTCCTCCTCTTCCTCCTCCTCCTCCTCCTCCTCCTCCTCCTCCTCCTCTCTCTCTTCTCCTCCCTCCTCCTCCTCCTCCTCCTCTCCCTTTCTCCTCCTCCTCCTCTTCCTCCTCCTCCTCCTCCTCCTCTTTCTCCTCCTCCTCCTCCTCCTCCTCCTCATCCTCATCCTCCGCTTCCTCCCCCCACTCCTAGCCCTTTCGATCAGGGTCGGCGGCACCGGCCGTCAGGCCTCTCCAATCAAGCCTCTTGGGGCCAGATTTTTATCCATATCCAGTGCGTCTACGGATTCTGGGGAAGAGAGCCCAAGAATCCAAGACGCACTGGATGTGGATATGACTATTGCCCGCAGAATCCAGCGAAGGCGACGAGGAGGAGGAGGAGGAGGAGGAGGAGGAGAGGAGGAGGGAGGAGGGAGGAGGAGGGAGGAGGAGGGAGGAGGAGGAGGAGGAGGAGGAGGAGGAGGAGGAGGAGGAGGAGGAGGAGGCCCAACAAGTAGCAGCATCGGCGTATCGGACCGACTCCACCTCTGAACCACGCCTCGCCCGTCGTGCGTCCTCGTCGCCGCTCGTTCGATCGTTCGTCACTCGCTGTTCGTCCCCGCCGTAGTCAGCCATCGTTCGTTGTCACCGTTCGTCGTCGCCGTCGCTCGTCCTAATGGAACGAAGACTGACATAAGCATCAAAACTCGAAGGTCCGCGCGGATCTCTTGGATCCGCGCTGGAGCCCCCTCACTGGCGCGCGGAGCGCGCCAGTGGCGGCGCCGGAGGCTCCGCCGGGACATCCGCGCGGAGCGCCGAAAGTTTATGTTTATGGCGTGGTTTCTTCTTCGACGTTCGTCGTCCGTGTTTCACCTTTCTTCGTCGCCGTTGCTGGCTCTGTTTCCCACCACCACCATAAGTTGGAGGGGGGAAGGAGGTGGATGACGAGGAGGACGAAGAGGAGGAGGAGGACGACGAAGAGGAGGACCCCCTCCCACTCCAACTTAGTTTTGGTGGTGGTGGAAAACAGGCCCATCAGCCGTCGCTCGTCCGCCCGTCGTCCGCGGCGAAGAGCGCGGAGCCTGGAGCCGCTGCCAGAGCCGAGCGGCCGCGGCGGCACGGCGGAGAGGTGGCTCTCGGAGCGGCTCCTGCGGCTCCCCCCTCCCCTGGCGCCGCTCGAGGGGTCGAAGGGAGGGAGGGGGTCGAGGGTCGAGAACGAGGAGGGCCGAGGATCGACGCCGATATACACCAATCGGCGGACGGAGACAGCTCCACGCAAAGATATGGCGAATTGGAGGGAGGGTGAGGATGGCAGGTATGGCGCGCGCCTAGCTTGTCCGTCTCTCCCCTGTCCCTCTCCCGTCCCTCCTCTCGGGGAGACGTAAGACCCGGGTACGGGGGACTCGGAAATCCCCGACGAGGTCGTCAAAAAAATGACGAGGCCGAGCCTGCATTTTGACGAGGCCTCCCGCTGCAGACATCCCACGAAACTCCTCCTCGTCAAAATCCGAGGCGCGGTCGTCAAAAAACGATGGCGAACCCGAGTCCTGGCAAACCCGGGTCTTACGCTCCCCCGATCCTCCTTCTGCTGGCCTCCTCCCCCTCCCCCCCATCCAGGAAGGACACCGAAGAAACATGCCGGCGCTGAGAGGCAGTTGGGGGCCGAGAAATATTTGTTGGGACCGTTAGTTGGTCGGGGAAAAACTTCGAGAGCAGAAAAAAGTGCGGGTCCAGACGAACGTGACCGAAATACAACGGTCCCAGCCATGCCTGTGAAGCGTTCCCCAGTCGATGCCCGCTTCTGTGCACAACTTCCCCCTGCCGTGCTTCCTCGGCGCACGCGATCCCCAGGGTGAGGGATAGCGTGTGATAGGCGGTCCGGCGGCGCGACATCGCGCGCCATCTTCCAAAGCCAACCTTGCGAGTTGCTGACCGACGATCTTCCCTTCTCTGCCTTCCGAGCCAGGTATGATTCAGGACTCCAGCGGCCAACAGCCCCGTCCGCTCTCGGGTGCGCCGGAGGGGGAGAAAAAGGGGGGGGTCATGAAATCTGGGATGCCTAATGGCCCCTGCCATGACACCTCCCCCTCATCCTCACCCGCCACTTCGACGCCTGTCGGAATCTCGCCCTGGCCAGCTATCCGGGACGATCCGGGCACCCTGCATGGAAGCCTCTCGGCGAGGCGAGGCTGCAGGAAGAGCACCCCGAGGCAGGAAAGCCTCCCGGCTCTGAGAGGGGCGCCCGAAGACCCCAAACCACGACAGGTGCCGCCGAGCACCCGACCCTCCACTCTGCCCCCCCGGCCGGCAGGCGTCCTCGGCGGCGTTGCTCTCGAGCCGCCCGCCTCGCGCCGGAGACGCCTCTCCGCCGCGCGCGCGCGGGCGCGCTCCAGGGCCACGACGGGTGCACCACGACGGACGGCGCTGGCGGCGAGGCCAGCGGCAGCGACGGCTACGGCAGCGAAGGCGGCGGCAACGACGGACCAGGGAGCGGGGAGGAGGGAGCGGAAAGGGAGGGGGGGAGGGAGGGGAGCAGCGAGGGAGGCAGGGAGGGGAGGGAGGGAGCAGGGAGGGGAGGGGGGGAGGGAGGGAGCAGGGAGGGAGGGAGGGAGGGCAGGGAAAGCCCACACGCCGGCGCCTCCGGTCCGCCCGCTCCTGCGCCGCCAGCTCGTCCTCCGTAGGCGGCCTCCACCTGCCTCGTCGGCGGGGGGCGGGCGCCGCCCGGCTGGCGGCGGGGGGAGCGGGGCAGCGGCGGCGGCGGAACAACGTATACCTCCTCGCTCGCTCGCTCGCTGCCTTGAGGCAAGGGCTCGCTGCCCACACTCTAGGGAAAGGGCGAGAAGAGGCGGGAACAGAACGGAGTCCTCGCCCTTGCCCAGCTCGGACACGGTGTGCACGAAGGAGATGGGAAAGGAGAGGAGGCATCCAGGGCACACGGCAGCATCACCTCAAGAACCCCCAGGCCCAGGGCAACCAACCGAACCTGCGTCACGCTGCCAATCTGGAATGCTTTGTTGCCTCGGAGGACCGTCTGTGTTACCAGCTCGCCTCCGCATGTGTAATGCAGAACACCCTCCTTGCTCTGTCCTCATCTCTCCTCATGTCCTCCAGCTGGCCTGACACGCTATCAAATGTCCGTCGTAACTCCACGTGCTCCTCGCCCGTGGCGTCTCTCCCTCCTTCTCTGAACTCAGCTCGCAGTGACAGTAACTCCCGCCGTTGAGCCTGCTTCGCCCTGCTTTTGTTGCCACCTCCATGCTAGTCTCGCGTGTGCCCAGCTCCCTGGGGGGTAGACCCACGCAGCTCGGAAAGCATCCGTACGGCGGCCCCTGCCCTGCCGGTTCCTGACAATCGGCTTTCTTTCTCTCGCAGCCCCGCCGACAATTCTGCCAAGTACTGAGTTTTGCGTCCTCGTCCTCGCCGTCCTCGTTGTCCAAGTCCTCGTCATCCACGTCCTCGTCCTCGTCCTCCTCGTCGTCGTCGTCGTCCACGTCCTCATCGTCCACGTCCTCGTCCTCGTCCTCGTCCTCGTCCTCGTTGTCTTCGCCGTCGTGGCCGCCGCACCTGTCACTGAGGCTGCTCTTCATCATCCCCGTGCGTCTGGTTAGTACAGTTCTCCAGTAACAGGTGGCTGGTGGTCCCAGGGAGGCGTTCCTTTTACTGATTGACTTCGGCGCCCATGTCCTTTAGCGCGTGCACATTCACCACTCGCTCCATGCACCCCTGGCGCACGAAGGAGAAGTCGATCGTGCTACATCATCCTGACCGTCCGTCGTTTCCTCTCGCGAGCACGCAAGAAGGTGGGCCCAGGTTCGCTCCGAAAGGTACGAGGCAGGGTCATGAACTGCTTATCCAGCAACTGTCTGATACCCTTTCCAGTTCCTCCTCGTCGCCCCTCTGGTGACCACCTGCCCAAGACAATGACTGGCAATAATTCGCCTTACACCCTCCGCTTTTGATCTGCGGATCCCGCTCGCGTCCGCGAAGTTGACGGGGAGTGTTCTCTATGGGTAAGATTCCCTACCTAGGCTCTGCGTAGAAGGGTTCTTACTCTCGTTGCTTAAATTAAAGGGGACGGGCAGTGTAACCCGCCAAGAGCGGTCCCTCCGGCATCCGCCCCGCGGTTCCCCTAGTTACGTCCCCTTAGCTTAGCGTTGCTTATCTCATCTTAGCTTAGGCCTAGCTTAACTTAGCTTAGCTTAGTTTAGCATAGCTTAGCCTAGCCTAGCTTAGCTTAGCTTAGCTTAGCCTAGCCTAGCCTAGCCTAGCTTTGCTTAGCTTAGCTCAGCTTAGCGCAGCATTAGCATAGCATGTCATAGCTTAACATCGCATAGCATAGCATATCATAGCATAGCGTAGCGCAGCATAGCATAGCGCAGCATAGCATAGCACTGCGTAGCGCAGCATAGCATAGCATATCATATCATAGCATAGCTTAGCTTAGCTTAGCACAGCACCGCGCAGCATAGCATAGCATAGACAGTATAGCATAGCGGAGCATGTCATGGCATAGCATAGCATATCATAGCATAGCACAGCATAGTATAGCATAGCGCAGCATAGCATAGCATAGCATAGCATGGCATAGCATAGCGCAGCATAGCATAGCATAGCATAGCCAGCATAGCATAGCGCAGCATAGCATAGCATAGCATAGCATAGCGCAGCATATCATAGCATAGCATAGCATAGCGCAGCATAGCATAACACAGCATAAACTAGCATAGCATAGCGCAGCATATCATAGCATAGCATAGCATAGCGCAGCATATCATAGCGCAGCATAGCACAGCATAGCATAGCATAGCATAGCGCAACATAGCATAGCATAGCATAGCATCAAAGCAAAGGCAAAGCAACAGCAGCAACAGCAAAGCAAAGCACAAGCAACGCAAAGCAAAGCAAAGCAACAGCAACAGCAAAGGAAAGGCAAAGCAAAAGCAATGTGCGACAGGTGCCAAGCTAGCCTCGATGGCCGGACTGGAGGCCCCGCAAGCAGTGCTGAACAGCCTGCAGTTCTTGCAGGAGCCGCGAGCAGTGTTGAACCTAGTTAGATGTTGCTTTCCTAGATGCTCCAACTCCTAGGTAGGGTCGCACAGGGATAATTGGAATATCTGCTTCCACTAGCCTGCTAGTTCATCACCATTTGCCTGTTATGGCGCTGCTTCCCCTTCTCACCAGGCTGCACTGGGCAAAAGAGGAACCCCGGCACCACATCCGTCATCCCATTATTCACTCATATCTTCGACGCACGACGAACTGCCACAGATGGTGAAACCCACGTGCGGCGGATGTGGCGTTCCTGGTAGCCCTTGCCGGGCATGATCGCACATCCTGCGTCTGTTGGTGCAGGGACTCTGCTGGAACACTGCCTCCACCGTCAGTCCTCCGTCCCCTCGCTGCCGAAGCGCCGGAACTCCTTTTCTGTATGCTGCCTTCGTGCCCGCCAGCAGCATCGCGTCCGCCGCGGGAGCTGAAAGGGCAAGCTCCGCCAAACGCACCGCCGAGGAGGCATAGAGCGGGTCGTGCCCAACCAGTCGCAATATATGTGAGGGCGCCGTCGCGGCCACATCGCGTCCGTCGCTCCCCGTCTATGTCAGCCGCCAGCGACGCACATGGCTCGCAGTGGCTGTGTCATCGCCCCCGCCCGAGTGCCGCTGACCATCTCGAGCACGCGGGGATCATCAGAATCGCCATCATCATAGTCGTCGATACCGCCACCATCATCATCATCATCATCATCATCATCATCATCATCATCATCATCGTCGTCGTCGTCGTCGTCGTCGTCGTCGTCGTCGTCGTCGTCGTCGTCGTCGTCGTCGTCGTCGTCGTCGTCATCGTCATCATCATCAGCACCGTCATCATCGTGGGAGTCGTAATCTGAAGAGTCACTATCCTCATCCTCCTGGGCCTCCTCCGCCTCCTCCTCCTCCTCCTCCTGCTCCTCCCCCTCCTCCTCCTCATCATCGTCATCCTTATCATTGAATTACCATCACCATCACCATCACCATCACCATCACCATCACCATCACCATCACCATCACCATCACCATCACCATCACCATCACCATCATCATCATCATCATCATCATCATCATCATCATATGCATCATCATGATCGCATCATCACAATCATCAATGCCACCGTCTCTTTGACCACCATCGTCAACAGCATCCGCATCCCCAGCATTCGCAGCATCGGTCGCAGCAGAATCAGCAACTTCATCGTCGTCTTCGTCATCGTAATCGTCATGGTCATCATCGTCGTCGGCATCGTCACCATCAGCATAATCAACACTGTCATCCTTAGCATTAGCATGGTCATAACCATCATCATCAGCATCATCATCATCATCCTCCTAATCATCATCATCATCATCCTGAGCAGTGTTCACATCTGACCATCAACAATAACAACAGCAGCAACAGCAAAGACTTCATCATCATCAGCATCATCAGCAGCATCATCAACGTCACAACCATCATCATCAGCACCAGCATCCTGCACCTCCTCATCCGCATCATCATCATCATCATCATCATCATCATCATCATCATCATCATCATCATCAGCATCATCATCAGCATCAGCATCATCCTCATCAGCATCCTCAGCATTATCATCATTATCATCAGCATCATTATAATCATCGGCATCATCGTTATCGTCGCCATCGACATCGCCATGGACATCATCCGCATCCGCATAGCTGTCCGCATCATCATCCTCATCCTCCTCCTCCTCCTTCCCGTTCTCCTCCTCCTCCTCATCATCATCCTCCTCGTCCCCCTCCTCATTATCATCATCGTCGTCGTCGTCATCGTCATCATCAGCATCATCAGTATCATCATCATCGTCATCATCAGCAGCATCATTGTCATTTTCATCATCATCATCATTATCATTATCATCATCATCATCATCATCATCATCATCATCATCATCATCATCATCATCATCATCATCATCATCATCATCATCATCATCATCATCATTATCATCAGTATCATCATCAGCAGCATCATCAGCATCATCATCATCATCATCATCATCATCATCATCATCATCATCATCATCATCATCGGGTCATCATCATCATCATCATCATCAGCATCATCATCATCATCAGTATCAGCATCGCCATCAGAATCATCATCATCAGCATCCTCATCGTCATCATCATCATCATCATCATCATCATCTTCAGCATCATCAGTGTAAGTATCATCATCATTAGCATCATCATAAGCATCATCGTCGTCGTCATCATCAGCATCATCAGCATCGCCATCGTCATCATCATCATCATCGTCTTCATCACCATCACCATCGGATCATCATCACCATCATCAGCATCATCATCATTATCAGCATCGCCATCATAATTATCATCATCATCATCATCATCATCATCATGAGCATCATCATCATCATGAGCATCATCGTCATCGTCATCAGCATCACCATCATCTTCAGCATCATCAGTGTAAGCATTTTCATCAGTAGCAGCATCATAAGCATCATCGTCGTCGTCATCGTCTCAATCAGCAGCAGTAACAACCGCATCGTCAGCAACATGTTCAGCATCAGCATCATGGTCGTCAACAGCATCAACGTCATCAACATTAGCAGCATCAGCAGCACCAGCAACATCATCAAAAACAGCAGCGTCATCATCATCATCAGCAGCAGCAGCAGCAACAGCATCACCATCGTCATCGTGACCGTGATCGTACTCGTCATCGTCATCATCGCTATTGTCGTCATCGAGATCTACCACCTCAGACATCCTCTCCATCGGTTTCGCTCGCTTTCATTGCCGTCGTTGCCGTCGTTGACGTCGTCCTCGTCGACCCCGTCGTTCCGCCAACGCCACCATCATCAGCAGCATCATCCTTCGCCTCCTTGGCAGCAGCAGCCAGTCTCCCACCGGCCTATGCACCTGCCCAGGACGTGCGCTCAGACGACAGCGAAACCCAGCTCCAACACTGAAGGGCAACGTTTGAAGGGGACCAGCTCCGGTGGAGGGAATCATCCACCTAGAACCGGCGATGCATGGACGATCGATGGGGCGCTGAGCCTTCGAAAACAAATCCGCACGTTCCTGGGCGGGCTGGGCTAGCGGGTCCACATTGGCGATGAATGGGCGATCGGGAGTCGATGCACTCTCCCTTGAGCCTATACACCCTAACGTTGCCTCCGAATATAATCCTCTTCCCCCCCCCCTCCAAGAGATGCAGCAAATATCCCCACATGGCTCCTGCCTGTGCCCACGTCGTACTGGAAGCCAGAGTGGTCGTAGACCTCTCGGGCACCAGGAAAGTGCCTGGTCCTCTCCCCCTCCTGGCAACGACTCTACAACCATCGTGCTACCACGAGAAACGTCGAATACAGAACGAATGGGCTTTGCTGGCCGGCAGCGAACTTCGGCCATAAACAGGTTCCCTGGCCAAGATCTAAAAAGCAGACCGGAAGCCAGAGCGCCTCATCAGCCCTAGGTGGTGACTACTTCAGCGTCTTGACTGTAGGATCCTCGAGAGCGGTCGAGCCTGGAGGATGCACAAGCCCCTTCCGTAACCATTGTGGAATTGTGGCTCGAGCTGGCGTTTTTTGTTGCTTGAGCGCACAATATGTGTAAGCTCCACGAAAGAATGCACTACAAATCGGATGGAACCGCGGGGGCATTTGGAAACCCACCAGAGAACTGGCGAGATATGAGCTGATATCAACACGTGGGTGAGGATGTCTCAGGCGAAACCAATGTGTTCGCGCTCTGTGAGTGGAGAAAAGCCAGAGGACTTACGCGGAAACCACGGAACACATAGGAAAACGACAGGAAGCCCTTCGAGACCGCTCGTTTTCGATGAAGCGCCAAGAGAACACTGCATTGGTCGCCATACCCCAATACCACTTCATAGTACTGGATTAAACCAGCGGGGCCCACCGCCCCGCTCATTGGCCCGAGGTTGCCCGCCCGTCAGTCCAGTCCCACGCGGAGTCTTCGAAATGGTAAGGGGGGTCTGCTCGATGGTAGCTGAAGGGCAGGGCAACGGCAGGGGGGCAACGGCAAAGGTGGGGAAGCATCGACCTGGAATCGGCGATACATCGCCGATTGATCGGCGATAACCCCCGAGTGCAAATCCGCATTTTCCGAGACGGGTTGGGGCTATCGGGCCCCTATCGGCGATGAATGGGCGATTGGAAGTCGATGCATCCGCCCCCTCTATCCCCCCCTTACCGTCGCCCCTGAATAACCAAAATTGCCGCACAGCTAAAGCCAAGCATGATCATCACAAAAGCCGCACAAAACAAACCATGCTCAAACACACATGATCATGATCAAACACACCATCCGCCGATCTGCCGATGCGGCGTGCAGAGTTCAAAAAGCTGCAGCCAGCGCTTTAGCTCTGCCGGGGCTGGGGCTGGGGCTGCGGGGGCTCTGCCGAGGAAAGGGGGGGGGGGGGGGGTCACCATTTCCCGGGTCGATCGGGCGGGGGGGGATTCTACCGTGTCGGGGGCCGTTCCCGCGCCGCAGGAGAAAGGGTGCGGGGGCGGCTATGGTTAGGCCAGGGAAGGGTGGGGGAGTGTGGGGAGGAGGAGGAGGAGGAGGAGGAGGAGGAGGAGGAGGAGGAGGGGGAGGAGGAGAGGAGGAGGAGGAGGAAGGAGGAGGAGGGGGAGGAGGAAGAGGAGGAGGAGGAGAGGAGGAGGGAGGAGGAGGAGGGGGAGGAAGGAGGAGGAGGAGGAAGAGGACGAGGACGAGGACGAGGAGGAGGAGGAGGAGGAGGGGGAGGGGGAGGGGGCGGGAGAGGCGGGGGGCGGCAACACGCCGCCGGGGCCCCCCCAGGGCGGTTCGAGAGAGCTCCTTCGCCAAAGACTTGACCCCAGGACGGACCAAGTTTTTTTTTTCCGCAGGCGGAAGCGCGGGAAGCGAAATCTGGCGGGGCATTCCTTCACAACGCTCTCTGGGCTGTCACACGCTACACGCTGCCCGCGGTCCCATGCACGCAGCCGCAGGGCTCACGACGGCTCTCGCTGCGGGCCACGGCCGTAGACGAGCCGCAAGGCCGCGAACCGGGCCCGCGAGCGCCCGGCGGGGGCCCCAAGAGAGGCCCCAAGATCGCTGCACGAGGACCCCCAAGAGGGCCACAGGAGGCAACAAGACATTGGCGTTCTCTGGGGTTGTTTATGTGTTTTGAGGTTTTCCCCTCTTCGAGCTGCCGACGCTCCAAGACGGCCCCAGAGGCCCCCAGCACCGCCCCAAGACAACCCCAGAAGCCCCCCAGAAGGCTGACGGCCCAAGAGGGCCCGGAAACGGCCCAAGGGGCGCCCAAGACGCCCCACGAGTGGCCCAGGACGGCCCAAAGAGGGGGAACATGAACCGACGGTTCGAGCCGTCCGCCCCAAGAGGACCTCACCCGAGAGGCCCCAAGGGGCTCGCAAAAGGCCCCCAAGAGGGCCCCCAAGAGGCTCCCAAGAGGCCCAACAGATGCTCCCGAACGGCACCAAAGAGGCTTCACAACTGCCTCGAAGAAGCCCCCCAGAAGCTTCCCACGGAGATCCCAACGAACCTCCAAAAAGCCTCGGACCCACAACACGGGCACGGTGGCGTGATGAGCCGAAGGCTACAGGACCAGAGAAGATAGAAATGACTGGAAAGAACATAATACCATGTCATATCCACGGTACGAGCCGCCCAACGACACACCAACGAGCCAACCCGTCCGGGAACTAGCCCGCCAACAAGCTCGACTGGCGGACACGACACAAACATTCCATTCAGCACATACTGCCTGAGGCGGCTGCCATAACCCTCCTCCCCCTCTTCCTCATCCTTTTCTCCCTCTTCTCCTCCTCCTCCGCACTCCTCATCCTCCCTCATGCCTCCTCGAAGTAAAACTCACAAACTACTAAACAGGACGAGAGCGTACGGTGCGTCCCGGAACAATATAACATTACAAAACAAAGCATTATCATACAAACATCTAGAGACAAACACTACTCTGTCTGAGAGGCCCCCGACAGGCAGAGAGGCAACCAAGATAAGCCAGAAGCAATCAAACTTTGTATCTTTCCAG